CACATGTCTTCCTCGATACCGCGTGGTTCAGTTACCTCCTACCAAGTCAGTTCCCTCTCTCTCCCCGATGCACCTGGCCAAAGGCCTTGACCGGGTACCTGCGACCTTAGCGGCTGCAACAATACTTCGCTACTCTACTCCCGAGTGCAGCTTCATCATCTTATCCCGCTCAATTCCCGGCCCCATCTACAGGCTCTTCCCGTTGCCAATCAGCTCACCTATGGCCTGAACTCCTGCAGCGAATCCCAGCCTCCTCGTTTATATCACAGATCGGGTGCAGCCGCTGGTTCTCACGTTAAGTCAAGCCACACACCCACAGTTCCGCTCCTTCGATCGACAGGTTGAGCAGTGCAATAGCCAACTGGTAAGTCCTCAACCCCCTCTCTGTCTATCTCTTTCATCGGTCGTTTTAGGTGAGTAAGACCAGGATGAACCTTACCACTGAAGTTGGGTAGATTCATCCTTCCCTGTCGTAGCCTTTCCCACACGCAGATAGTACATCTTGTAGCGCAAAGTAGGTCCTCCTTACGCGAAATCCGACCGTGCCATTGGGTTCGGAGCACCTCCAAACCCCAACTTTGACTCCTCCCTCACTCGATTCCGTCCGGAAACGAGTGAGAAAGCTCTCACCCCCCTTCCGTTTTCTCTTCCTTCATGGCTCCGCGCAACTCAGTTTCTCACTAACTGCTTGTCTACTGACTTTCTTCCGAAACCGAGCCCGGAATCCAGTTCGCCTGACGCCAAAACATCAGATCAGCACCTTTGTTTGTTGAAATTGGTCGAGGAACGAAAGATCAGACCAAATTTCGTTCCCGTTTGTTCTCGTTCCACCATAGCTCGGCGCAGCCTCCTCCTCCTACTAACTCCATTTCTACTAACACATCACTAAAACAGAGCCCGCCAATGGATTCCCCAAGCATCATAACCTCTAACCTGCACCTTCCCTCGCCCGAACCCGTCAAGAGTCGAGCGAGTTATTCACTTCCTCTCCCGCCATAGCTCGCTATCGCCCCAACGCACTTTCTTCCTTACTAACCGCTCTATTTACTCCACTACTCCCAAAACAACCTGCACTATTGGAATCGCCCTATCTAAGAAGCCTGAAAACAACTCTCTGTTCGCCCGATTCCGTCGAGAATCGGGCAATCTACTCGTTTTTCCTTCTCCGAATGTACCCGGGCGCGATCCCGGGTCTGATTCACTCGCTGCCTCGCCTTAACTCTCTCTTGCTCTCGCTGCCGCGCCCGGCTCCCTCACTGCGCAGCGCTGTCTGGTCAGTCCCCCCGCCATGCTCCGACCGATTGGCCCGAGCTCCGGCCATCCTGAGGGAAACCTCGGAGGGACTCAGCTATTAGACGGTTCGATTAGTCTTTCGCCCCTGTACCCAAGCCCGGCGGCAATGGGCACCGCTGCTTCCCCACAGTCTCCCCCGACTCCGCCTTGCCCCAGGCCCGCCGTGCCTACTGTACCCATCACGCCTCGGCGCAGTCCTCCCTAGTGGCATTTGGGCAGAGACCCCTTGGTGCTCATAGGGGGAAGGGGCCGGAGGAGAGGCACAACGACTGGCCCATTGAGGAGGCTTAGCTCTGATGCTATTGACTGACCCCCGACCGGTATCGCCCGCCTGCCGCAGCGGGTATCGCATCTGCTAGTGGGTAAAGCTCCCGCACGTTCCCTCGTTGGAGGCTTAAGCACGAATGTGACTGCTACGGAGTTCCCCGAAACACTACGACGGGGTAACTTCGACGCAGCCGCGAAAACTTTTTGCAATCGCATTTCAAGCAATCCCGCGAATATAACGCACCCCGGACCGCGGACCAGGCGGACTAGGCGCGCAGTCAAGGTCCTCGTCTGGGGTGACGACCATTGAGTCCGGCGTCACGTCCGGATCTCGCAAAATGTCGGAGCTTGCAAGAATTTGATACAACAATTATGTAATATAAAATACAAACGAACGTCGCGCATCTCGCTGGCCCGTGATGCCGTGCATGCCTAGGCAGCGCATAGTGGCGCTTCATCGTCAATACCCCACGCCGCTACGAGCGCCTCTCACCCTGACAAGAACCTATGCCTCCGCTCATGCGCACGCCGTCAGGCGGGCGACACTGCACTTGCGCAACGTCCAAAAAACACGCCAAATACCCTTGTGAGGGTATTTGGTACGACACCGGTGCACTTGGTCGCTGAATACGAATGGCATCTTTGGCGATTGTAGTCTCGTCAATGGTGCGGCTAATCCTTGAGTACCCGGAGATGAAGCATTGGTAGTAGCCCGCCAACCCCATGAATCAGCGAACTTCTGTGGTGTTGGTGTGCTCAGGCCATGCTCGGATGGCTTCGATCTTGTTCGCGAGCGGACGGATGCCTTGCGGCGTCACAAAATGGCCCAAGTTCTCTAACTCTTATTTATTACGGTTGGCTTTGTACTTGGCTTGTCGTAGCCGTTCCAAAACGGGGCGTAGGTGCTCCACATGCTCGTCCAAACTCCGACTGTACACCAAGATATCGTCGAGGTAGATGAGTACAAATCTGTCCAGCATGTGTTGGAACTTCGTCGTCATAGCCGCTTGGAACGTGACCGGGGCATTCGCAAGGCCAAAAGGCATAACCAGCCATTCAAAATGCCCATATCGCGTCTTGAACGCGGTCTTGTAGCGGTCCTCCCGCCGAATCTCGAGTTGGTGATATCCCGATTTGAGGTTGAGCTTGGAGAAAAATTTAGCGTTGCCCAACCGTTTGAGAAGGTAGTCGATGCGCGAGAGGCGGTTGGCGTTCTTGATGGTTTGCGCGTTGAGCTTGCGATAATCGATGCACAATCGCAAATCCTTGTTTTTCTTCCGGATGAAGAGAATGGGAGCGTCGTATGGCGAAGAGCTAGGCCGAATCCAACCTTTCTCTAGAAGGGCGCCGAGTTGTGCCCATAGCACACTTAAACCAGCAGTACCTTTGTCAGTGTCGGGAAATTACAATGTACTTGTTCGTCCCCGAAGAAATCGGTGGTGGGACCCAGGGTGGGCGAGTCCTATAAATCTTAGTTTTCTTTTGCCTGAGCGTGAAAGAAAAAAGAAAAAAAAAAGCTTTTGTACTGGAATGATGTCGGGCAGGGTAGTTTAGGAGGTTGTGCTCACAGTCTTTCTCTACAGAATGTATCCAAGACGGTCACATTTTGAAACTTGTTTTATTTTATTTTATTTATTTCTTGTTTGTTTATTACGAGTCCCCTAGCAACGAGGCAGGGCGGAATCCGTGATCTGCGCTGGCTGTGTTTCCTTAGTGGATTGTAACGTTGATGTATCCAACCATTTTCACGGCCGAATCCGTGTTTTCGTTTTTTTTTTTTTTACTATTTTTGGAATCTGACAATTTGTATCCGTGATCTGCTCGGGCTGTGTTCCCTCACATGATTGTAAACCTCATCACATTGGCACTTAGAGGAACGTATCCAACCATTTTCACAACCGAATACGTGTTTCAATTTTTTTTTTTGTGTGTTTTTGGAATATGACAACTTGGCGACGAGGCTGAGATGCCCTCACTGAGGGCACACTCACACTACCACTTCCAAGAATGTATACAACCGCAATCACGGCTAGAGCATTGTTTCCTTTTCTTTTTTTGTGAGTTTCACAGCCGCAACTTTTCTTTTATTTGTTCCTTTTTTTTTTTTTCCCCCGTGAGAACCGTAAGGAAATGGAGTGGGACTCAGGCTCGGCAAACTCGGAGCGTAGTGAAATTCAGGGTCGACAAAAACAGGCTCGAAGGTACTGGTGGTTTAACTCTTCCTGGCTCATGCGGTAGATGCAACCATGCGGAGGTACGGTCCCGGCCTCGAGGATGATCTCATGGTGGATGGGCCGATCCGGTACTACTCTGCGCGGGGCTTCGAACACGTCGTCGTAGGTGTCGAGAAGCTCGGTGATGCGTGGGTTTGTCGATGCGTCCGTCGATGGGATGTCATGGGGAGGGAGGGCGTGGAGAAAACACACCCCCATCTCTTCGATGTCGTCCTTGGTGATGAAAGCTCGAATGCTTGCGGCGGACACCATGTGACCGCTGATCGAAAGGTGAGGTGGAGGCACCGTGGATGGGACTAGTCCTCCGTTCCGATCACGAACGTGAACAGTACGGCGGTAGAAGTTCACTGGGTGATCCTCGCTTCTCAGCCATGACATGCCCAAAATCATGTCGAACGGGGTGTCCAAAATGTCGAAGGACACGACCTCGCTTGCATGCGGGGCGAAGTACATGGGGACGGAATCAATGCACCAATCGATTGACTTGTGCGTGTGACCGTCGACCAACGTGACTTGCGTGGGCTGCGACTTCCTCCGAACGCGTGGCCCAAGGCCAACGCGTACCATAAAGTCTTCGCCGATATAGTTACGAGTAGCTCGACAACAGATCAAAGCGCTCCAGGTCGCCTCTCCGAGAATGCGTATGTACAACAATGGTGCGTCGTTGTTGTTGTACCGTTGTGTCTTAAACTCGTGACCGATCTTTGCAACGTCGTCGAAAAGGTCAACAACCTCTACTCCGGCGTCCATCAACGGAGCTGGTACTGTAGTGTGCAAGTAATACCGCAATTGTGCCAATGAGCACGTTGCAATGCGGTTTCGACAATCGGTCGGTTGTGGGAAGGGGCATCCATTGGAAGTCCGCGAACGTAAATGGGTCGAGTCTCTCAAGTCTTGACCATGACGTCGAATCCCTGACGAAAGTTGGCGGCGAAGATGCTGAATCGGTTGTCGATGGTGGTGAAACCGTGCATGCGGTGGATTGCTGCACATGGAGTGGCTGGTCCAACGGTGGGACCAAGTGGACAGCGTAATCCTCGTAAGTGAACGGAGGACTTGCGACATCCACATTCTACCCGGATGTGTAGGAGGCTGCTAGCAAGGCGACCGAATCTGGCGGAGTGAGAGGTGGAGTCGCCTCACGTCCCGTGCAGCTCAGTTTCCCGAGATGATTCGAGGCCGAGCATCGTCCTTGCCTTGATCTTGGCATTGGGAGGTCTTGTGCCTGGTGCTGTTCCACCAATAGCAGCAGCCGTATCGGCTGCGGTACTTGTATTCGGCCTCTGTCAAGTTGAACTTGACCCATGGTATGGCTGTCCATTTCCGGCCGGCGATGCAATTTTCGCCTTCTCTTTTCCACGGGAGTTGTTGTTGCTTCTCGGCTGGACAGCGGCCACCTGATCTCCCCCACGTGATGCCGGGGTGGCTGCCGCAGCGACGGGCTGCGGACACGGACCCAATTTTCCTTTCTCCACATGGGTTGGCTGCCACGCTGACTTCTCTTGTGCAGCTGCCCGGTTGGTCTTGATGATCTCCCGCGCCTTGTGGATAATTTCCGCGAAGGTCGTGTACTGTTCTCGGTCACCGAGCTCGAGGCTCAAGGTGCCGCACGACTGGTTGTAGAACTCCCGACGCAGATGCGAAAATGGCAGCTCGAGATCGGGTGTTGCCACAAACTTTTGCCATTCTGTGAGGCAATCGCGTGTTGGTGTGTTGCCTTGAGTCGTGGCGAAGAGGCGGTTGATGGTGAGCGCGGGTGCGTCGTTCACAATGAACCTCTTCTTCCATTCCTTCGTCATATCGTCCCAGGAGATCTTCTTGTGCAGGTCGGAGACCTGGACACCGTGGATGGTTGTCATGTGGCTGAGTCAGATCTGGCATCCGCCCTTGGCGTTGAGGAGCAGCGCCGAGATGTACAAGTGATTGGGGACCTCATGAATCCCAATCTTCGTTGTAAAGCTTTGCCACCAGACGACTTGGTCCTGATGCGTACAATCATCAAACTTCTCGATTCGAAACGCCGACATCTTGTACGGCTGCGATGCACTGCTGATGCCATCGTTGTTGGGCGGTTGGTGTAGTTGCCGAACCTCGGTCTTCAAGGTGTCGAGCTGCTCGCTGATGGTGGCTGGTGCGACAAGTCTTGTACACGGGAATGAAGTGCCTTTGTTGCATACTGTAACGGTGCAGACCAGAACAAGAACCCACCTCTCTCCAATAGTACAGGATAGTGCAGCAGAAGGTTATAATACCAATAATCAGACCAATCAATGTCACAATCTAGACCAAACATACATCATCATCATCGGATGGTGTGAAGGGGCCAGACGCTCACACAAGAAGAATGCGCCAGTCCCCAAACCATACATAGACGAAAAGGAGGGGGATCAGACGAAGAAGAGGGGGAAGATGGGAATGTCGTCAACACCAAGTTTTTGATTCAGGCCCCAAATAATCCCTCGTCCAATGTCTCGATCCCAATGTCGAGTTTGAATCCAAATGTCGTCAAATCTCAAAGTCACAACTCTCTCTCTCTTTACCTTCTCTTTACCTCTCTCTCTCTCTCTCTCTCGTAGTCTGTAGGTGCTGAGAAGTCAGGTAGCGAGAGGGTGAGGGAGAGGTTGTGGACTTAGAGGAGGAAAAAGAAAAACTCTCTCTCTCTCTCTCTCTCTCTCTCTCTCTCTCTCTCTCTCTCTCTCTCTCTCTCTCTC